TACTACTACTACTACTACTACTACGGCTACTGCTACTGCTACTGCTACTACTGCTACTACTGCTATTACTGCTACTACTGCTACTACTGCTACTACTGCTACTACTGCTACTACTGCTACTACTGCTACTACTGCTACGGCTACTACTACGACTACTACGACTACTACGACTACTACGACCTCTACGACTACTACGACTACTACGACTACGACTACGACTACGACTACGACTACCACTACCACTACCACTGCCACTGCCACTTCCACTACCACTACCACTACCACTACCACTACCACTACCTGCTGCTACTACTACTATTACCACCACTACTACTACTACTACTACTACTACTACTGCTGGTGGTTTGACTCTATGACACTATGAGCAACGCCTCAGGCGATTCGGAACCACTCAGCCTACGAAGCTTCCTTGTCTGTCGTTCTGAGCCTGCTGGCGCGGGACCCAGCAAAACGCATAGCTCCACGAGCAAGAAGATGTCAGAAGGAAGCAGGAGAAAGTCAGAAACGAGCTTCAGTCGAAGTGCGGGGTCCGATCCCTACCCTAAACCCTAAACCGTAACCCTGAACCCTGAAAGAAGGAGTCAGTGAGGGTTGTTTTTGATATACTGTATTGTACTACTATACATTACATGATATGAGAGATGATCGGGATGTGACTCTGAGGCCATGCCGGCCCTCCGAGATGTGGTCTTAAGGTACATGTGCCACGCATGGACCTCCCGCTATCGCGCCGGAGCCTTACATCCAAACCTGACGAGGCCCCCCGGATCTCTTGCGGATTCGGGTTCAGGGCTCTGGGAGAAGGGATCCTTCGGAAGTGGCAAGTATGCAGCCCTTTTCAAAGCAGAGCCGCCGAGAGCAGGGGCCAGGGGCCCCTTCTCAGGAGCTTTCGCAAGGAGGGAGGCAATCCTTCAAACCTACGACAGGGAGTGCTGTGGGATGGCTCAAGTTGTGAAGAAAGCGGCTTTGGCGTGCCTGGAGCCATGAATCTGAGGTCTTAAAGAGCCTCTTGGCCGTTTCATGGCTCTGGGCTCAAAAGGGGCCAACAAACCGTCGACGAGTTGCAGCCTTGAGCTTGAGTCATGTTCAGGTCCTCCTTGGCCACCTCGCTCCAGCGCATCCTGCTCTCTGAAGCCGCGCTCATCCTCCAGGCGCAGACGGCAAGTGATGGATGCATTCTCACGTTTTTGGCACTGCATACGGACTTAGCGCAGCAGTGCCAACACCAGCACTGGCACAGGATTTGGCTAATTGAACCAGCCTGCGCCCGTGCCATGCCTTATGTCAGGAATACGCTCGAGTCACAATGTCGAATGCCATTTTAGCTCACGCTGATTGTGTCCCACACATGTATTTTCGAAGACCCTCCCATCGCTCGCCTTTGCTCGCGATGGCCGCACCAGCTACCCCCGCTGATGCTTGGACTGTTGTTGAGGAATTTGCGGCAGCAAGGGAGCTGCGGGAGATCGATGGTGCCGCAATCTTGGCGCCCGTGACGACAGATGCAATGACGACGAGACGGAGATCGTGGAGAACGTGACCAGGGACGATGTGTAGACCAGGTGATTGAGTGGCCGGAGAGTGAGATCACGCATCTCCGAGGACATGACCCTGCAGGATGGTGGGGAGCCATTGGTCCCGAGCCGTCCCCTGGCTGGCCGGGCAGGCCGCAACGACACAGGCGCCGCCTACGGACGAGACGTCTGAGATGGAGGGGGAAAGCCGTCGTGTCTTCCTCCACGCTTGCGCCCTCCTGCGGCGCTGGCCCGGATGGGGAAGGCCATTCTGGCGTTGGCGGCCTCTGGCAAGACACCATGAAGCTTTCGATTCGTGAATGTGAGAAGACAGACCTCTTCCCAGATCTTCCCAGAACCTGTCGTTCAGGAGGTACGGAACATTGTTGGGGAGGCTCTTCGGAGGTTTCCCGCGGGCAGCCCTTCCCGAAAGACCTTCCTAGAAGAGGTCCCGGTGGGCATGGTGGAGGGCCCCCTCACCACCGAGGAGGCGGCTAAATCTAGCGGCTGCCAACCGGATGAACTCTGCCCTGGTTTATGTTCTTGCTACACCGCAACGGCTGCACCCTGGCCCTCTCACGTGAAACGGGACGTCAACCAGTGGGCTGACGAACTTACACATCCGGACTGCCAGCGCTTCTCTCCGGACCGTCGTCTCCGCGACAGCCGCCTACTGAAAGGCTTTCACCTTTTTCCTTAGTGCTGGAATCCGGTTCCTTCTATTTTGTGGTGCTCCCTCACCTACGGCCCGGGTGGTGCGCGGTGAGGCCGAGACTTCCCCCATTCGCTCGTTACGATGCGGCTTTTCTCGCCAGGCACATCAGTGCCACACCGTTTTCTACTATTGACCTCTTGGAGGGGCCTGAGGCTTTGCTAGCCTTTGGCCCCGACTCGCTCGGGGGACCGTCTCGGATTGCCACCTTCCCCATTCGCAGTGAAAAGAGGGAAGTGCAGGTGGTTGCTTTCGTTCCGTTGTGCGCGTGTTTGCTGACATACATACATCTTAGCCGTACATTTTTTCGGACCCTGTGTTGCATGGACAGATCAGCATCTAACCGAATTCAGCCTGCGATCGAGAGGTCTGCGCTTGGGAGATGCGTCTGGTGTGGCCTTCTGGCCGTCCACCTATGGAACATCTCGATACCACGGCAGATATCTTGGGACAACAGCTGCTTGCCAAGAACCAAAGCTTTAGACTTGTTTCGCTTTCCTTCTACGGTCTCGAAAATCCTGTTGTCGGTCCGTTTTTCTCCATCCTTCTGTGGCCCCTTTTCTCTCTGCGACTCCCTCGTCGCAAGAACTTGAGCCCATATGGGCCACAGATGGCCACAGATCGATGCACTGCTTGCCTGAACTCAGTGTTTGATCCTCTTTGCCAGAGAAATGAGTTGTTTGATCCACCTTTGAGAGCTCAGGCGTTTGGACATGAAGATGAATGTATCGGAGCACTTGCAGGCTTCTCGCTGATTAACGACGAGTAGTTGAGATCGGCCTTGCCAGCCATCTGACTGCAGGAGGTGGTCTGCGATCTCATCTCCCACAGCGACAGTGGACTTTCAGGGTCTGGACCCAAGAATCAAGCGCGAAATATGGAGCTGGGAAAGCGCGTCGGAGCTTGTCGGCGCAGGCACACGAGCATGCCATACCTGGTAAACGCAGCTTTGCGCCTCGCCGACGCCTGCGACGTCGTCGACGCGGTTGTTGGCTCCGCGGCCTTGCAGGCCGCGCGGCAGTGTACAGAGAAGCTGGCCATGTGTACAGTGGAACCTTATAACGGTGATGCTGCAACATGTCCGCAGGGGTCGGACTCCGTGCTGTTCGGTCGAGATGCCATGCAGGCAGGATTCTGTTCAAGAAGTAGAGTGTCGTGAACATCTAGATGTCATACAATGTGAAGCTGACTTTGCGCAGCTTCCAGAGAGCAGTTCATGCCTTAAACGCCGATGGGAAAGATCTCCTGCATTAGAGTCCTCAGCAGCGCACGGATAACCCATCCTGAGCCCTGAACCCGAAACCCATCCCCAAGCATCAATCTCTAAGACCAGGAGCCCGGCAGCCTTTGACAGTAAGGTCTAGGGGTTTAGCGGTTTAGGCTTGGAAGTTTAAAGCTTGAGGGTTTCAGGGTATAGGCCTGTCTGACAGTATGCCTACCGGGTCCTATGATCGGTCAGTTCAGCTTCGAAGCTTTGGTCGTTGAGCTGGCGCAAGACTAGTAGCAACAGTTGTAGTAAGTACATGTAAGTACTGGTACGAGCAGCAAAAGCTGTAATAAGAACGTCCTGAATGTTATCTCCCGGTTCAGTTGGTATCTTCGTGAGTGTGTTGAAGAAGACGATGACCATGAGAATCATGATGACCCCAACTTCAAGAAACCCCCTCACATCCTTCGTTTGTCTACGATCGGAACTCGCAGGTTAGAACATGTCCAGTCAGACTTGGTCGCATCAATCTCTACTCAAGCTGGTCGCATCACTGATTCAAGCGTTTCTGGTGCGGTTCGGTCACACCATGTAAGAAGCCCACATAAAGCCCCATGAACCCCATCAAAACCGGATATAGATCCAATACAACTGCCGAAGCCCCACAGCCCCAAGCCAACAGCTTGAATCTTTAACTCTAACCATCTCCAGCCGTAGAAGATGAACGTGCCAGGATCAGCTCCGCGCATCGACCTGCCAGTGCATGGCGCCCGTGAAAGCCGGGGGTGCTCTGAGCCGCAAGCTGGAGCTGCAGGACTTTGGGTTTCAGATTGTATACAAATATCTTATAATAGTATTGTAATATTATAATTAGTATTATAATATTACAGTCTTACAGTATTCTACAATTGTAACATGGTCAGGCCTTTGGCCCAGGCTTTGGGCCTGCCGAAAATGCCTGGGAGGACCCGCATCTGCTGTTGCACCTGTCCGGACTGAGCTACCTGCTCAGCGCAACGGAAGCCGAAGGTCGGGTGCCCGAACGACTCCCTGGTTCTTAGTAGGGAATGGGGGAATGGGTTATTGGGACTACTATAAGGGACCTTAAGGAATGGGGTTTAGGGTTTATGGGGTTTAGGGTTTAGGGTTTAGGGATGGTTCTTAGTAGGGAATGGGGGAATGGATCCCTATGATAGTCCCTTAAGGTTTCCTATAGTAGTCCCAATAACCCATTCCCCCATTCCCTACTAGGAACCAGACAGAAGAATTAAACGTTAACCCGGCACATCCCGGCACCCACAATCCACGGTCCTGAAACCGGGTCAGAACTCACAGAGCCTTGCGAATTCCCAGGTGACCGGTCCCGTTTCGCCGCAGACCTGCAGTTGCTCTGCTCTCGCAACGAATATGTTTGGCGCTCTGAATGCGGCGTTTTGCGATGTTCCTGACTTAGCGGACCTAGCAGGTCTTGAATTTGGAGTCGGGTGTCCGTGTTGCCGTACTGCTCAGGCTAAGTATCACTGTAATGTAACATAAGGTAGTGTAGTGTAATGTAAGGTTGTGATGTAGTGTAATGCGGTGTAATGTATTGTAATGTAGTGCAATGTAGTGGAGTGCACGGTGTGGTAAGGAAATTCATTTCTGCATGTTTGTATGTATGCATGAGCGGGTGAATGTACGAGGTATGCATACATGTATGCGTGCATGAATGTATGCAGAAATCTAGGCATGCAATGTAATCAGACATGCAGCATAGTTATCTAGGCATGCAAGCTTGTAGGTATAGTGATTCGACTCGTGTGTATGTTAGTACGGACAATGAACCCATAAACGCATGGACGTATACACGTGTGCATGCATGGCTGCATTCATGGTTACTGGAAGGCAGTGTACACATCAGAAGTAGATGATCCATATACTATGTGTTTGTGTCTGTATAAAAGAAGGTTTGTGTGCATGTACGCTTGGCTCAAGTTTCTTATCTATGTACAGATACAGACACAGAGTGTCATAGTTATAGGTCTATACTGCTATATGTACCCGTAGCTTGTAAACAGAATATGACAGCAGCGAAACACTTCAGCTTGCCGTGATGTACAGCATAAACTGATAAGAGCACGTGGGACACACACACATGCTTCTGTAAGCAGTAGATAGTAGTAGTGTTGACAACGCTTGCCAACGCCGACTTGGAACGTTGTTGCAACTCCATTATGGGTGTGATCGGTAGGTTGTTGTCTTCAAGACTAGTGTCCTCACATGCGTCTACGCTTAGCGACTCTACTCGAGCTTAGGGTTCCGCTTGATGTCTTCCGGGTTGTCATTCGTTCAGGGTTTTCTCTAGTTCTAGCTTCCCTTCTTCTCTCTTACCCGGTTACCCCCATCTTATCGAAGAAACTTCTCATCCTCTGTCTTTTTCCTTTCGTCGTTTTCCACGCTTGAAACAGCAGTGGCAAAGCCCCGAGGCCTGCATTGCCTACTACACCGAGTGTGCATGCCGGCTTCCCAGAAGACGGTGGCTTTGGTCCTAAGCCACCTAAACCCTAAACCCTAAACCCCAAAACCCTAAGCCACTGAGCCCCTAAACCCAAAACCCCAAAACCCCAAAACCCCAAAACCCTAAGCCACTAAGCCCCTAAACCCTAAACCCCTAAACCTTAAGCCACTGAGCCCCTAAAGCCTAAAGCCCTAAACCCCTAAACCCTAAACCCCTAAACCCTAAGCCCCTAAACCCTAAGCCCCTAAACCCTAAGACCCTAAACTTGGCTTGCTCTTGCTCAGGCAACGGGTTGACCACCTTCGTTTCAGCGGCTCTTTCCCACTTGGTCGGCCCAGCGAGTTTGCAGAATGAGAACAGTTAGTATAGCTACAGTACTAGGTAATAGAAACAGTAGTAACAGTAATAGCAAAAAGTAATGCTAATATGAGCAACAGAAGTACGCATCAGCAACAGAAATAAGTATCAGGAGTAGTTTCAGTTGCCGCTGCAACCTCGTGCAGCAGTGACTTTGCAGCGCCAAATTCTGGACTAGCTCCTCGGATCACTTCACCTGCAACGCCGTGTGTCCATGTCAGTCCAGACCGGGTGCTGCAACACATCGCACCAGGCTGTTGAAACTTGAACCCCATCGTTCTCCGGAACCGTTCGTCCTCCAAGTCGTACCGCGCATCCTTGTGAGTTATGCCAGGTTGGCAGACCTCGGGCGATGATCGGAAGTACCGAATCTGATTCAAGGGCTCAGGTGGGGATCCCTCAATCGAAAAAAAGAGAGAGCCAAAAGCCCAAAAGCCCTGAACCTCAGGGCGCAAAGACCACTAAATGAAACTCCTAAACCCCTAAGCCCTAAACCACCTCTTTTTCGCTCTCTGCCCTGTGAAGGCTGCCAGAGCTCACTTGGAGGCACTGCTCCCCGCCATGGCCGCCGAAGAAGCTGGGGCAGAAGCACCCCGAAGACTCGAGCTCCTCTCAGGCCCCTGAATAATGATAATAACAACAATAATAGTAGTAATAGTAATGATTATCACGATAATAATAACAATGGTAAATAGTAATAGTAATAGTAATAGTAATACTAATAGTAATAATAATAATAATCATAACCATAATCATAATAAACTGAGAGCAAGGGCCCTTCTGAAGCGCAGGACTGGCGACAGCCTTTCTGGCTGCAATGATCGAGCGATCCAAGGCCTGCCTAGTGAGTCAAGAAGAGTAGGGTTTAGGGTTTAGGGTTGAGGGTTGAGGGTTGAGGGTTTAGGGTTGAGGGTTCAGGGTTTAGGGTTTAGGGTTTATAGGGTTTAGGGTTTAGGGTTTAGATGGAGCTTGCTTCGAGAGTCGCCACAAGAAACGGAGCAGCAGGGAAAGCGACCCCAGGCATGAATCATCAGTTTCGTTCTCCCCTCGTCACAGCTTGGAACAGGCTCCGCCACTTGCCTTCGTCCGGCGAGTGTACGTGTTGCTGAGCGGAGCATTGGTTCGACCTCTGGCTGTGTCTCGCGAGTCCCGCCGAAACTTGCAGGAGGCGACGGAGTGAGTGCTTCTGAGCTTCCTCTGAGTCTGACCTTGCAGCTGGGAGTGATGGCAGCAGAGGCGTTGCTGGTCCTACTTCAACGGATGCTGCCGGACCAGGCTTGGTGTGGGGAGAGGGTGTGAGAGTGCCTGGGGTACCCCTGGCCCCGGCCTCGAGGCACTTGATGTCGCCATGGGGTTTCAGGTGCCGGACCTTGAAGCCGAGGCGCGGTGATAGTGATGGGGCCAAAAAAAAGTGTCCCGAAGACTTGTCTCCGGCGCTTCTCCAGGATGCGACGGAGCTTGCTCGACTGGTCTCCTCCCTAATGGCTGCCGAGATGGCCGAAGCACCGTGGCTAGAAGAGACTCAGAGTCGAAAATCCGCATCCTGACAGTCAGGGCAATTTTTCAGGGACTTCGAGCGTTTATTTGACGGGGTTTGGGCCCCTAAACTCTCAACCTCCACACTCCTGACTCTTACTGTACCCTGAACAAGCGGACCCCTCCCCAAAAGCCTAGAAGTCTTTGTTTGAGCCTCCAGGCAGAGCATGTTGCCGAGTCAGACCCGAGCTCAAATGGACCTGGAGTTTCGCTTCCCCTCCTATGTGCCCTGATGACGCGGGTGCCTGCAAGGCAGCTCTCTACAGTTTTTTCTGGGCTTTGGCGGCAACTCACAGAGCTTATTCAGGCAGGATCACAAGCGTCCCTTCGAGATGCCAACTGCCTTCGGCATCTGCATGGCAGCGCTCTGGCGGCGATCCTTTGCCAGTCACCCGAATCTGCCAGTGCATTCTTCGAAGCGGGAGGGCTGTCTGCAGTGCTGCGGCCAGAGATGCTGCAAGGCAGGTTGCGATTGGCCCCAGCAGGGCTCCACGCCTTGGACACGGTTCATCCTGCCGCCCTGGTGTCTGTCTTGCAGGTTTTGGTGGCCATGCTGGGTGTTCTACCCACGCACAACCTGGTGCTACAGAGCGCCTTGCAGTGGCTTGAGAGGCATCTGCAGCCACTTCTCGACGTCATGCAATGGGTGACCCGGCTGCCTTTCACCACGGCCTCAGAGCCGCGGGCACGCGCAGTTGGCGCAAGCCCCAGCAGTGTGGTGGCAGCCCTTGCCGCGAGAACCGGTCGGAGTGCGGGCAGGGAAGGCCCGGACGCCATGCTGGTAGTCTGCAGGTCTCTGGAGACTCCACAGACCACTAGCACTACGCGAGACTTGTGTGTAGACGGGCTGGCCTTCTGGCTCAGCGGGCGCTGCTCCATGAGCAGTGGCTCTTCCGTCGTTGGGGATGACAAGTATGCCGACGGCATCGCACTCTGCCACCGCTGTTTGGCATTGTTTGTGGAGCTGTGGTCACTTGTGCATCTTTCGGTGGCGCGCAGAAGGAAGTATGCTGCCGGAAAGGCAGATGTTTACCAAGCCCAGCTACAGAAGTTGGAGCCGATGATCCATGCAGCACTTCCAGGGCTGTTGATGCAAGTTGCAAGCGCTTCAGCGCCAGACCCGGACAGCATGTCGGACGCAGATGGCAGTGCTGGCAACACAATGCTGCTTGAAGCTCTGCGGCCCGCGGAAGTGACCCAGCACAGAATCATCTCCAACATTTTGCAGATCTGGAGATATGACAGCATCACCCAACACATAAAGATGCTTGCCAGCAAAAACCCCCAAGCGCAGCCAAGCGCGCAGAGTGCATGGTCGCTCTGGCAACAAGTGCAACAAACAGGGCCTTTTCAACAGGTCACGCAGGGATCTGGGATGTCCCAGTCCATCCTCGGAGAGGTGAAGGTCCGCTCTGGCGTGTTGTGCGCCGTCTTCGTGCATGCTTGCTGCAAGCTCTTGAGCCTCAGACTTTCGGATCCGCTCCCCGTGCGCAGCGAGGGAGGGACCCTTGCTTCTCTCGAAGCGACGGTGGATGGACAAGGCGGACATGGCGAGCAGCTGCATTTCGAGGGAGCTCCTGCCACATTTACCCAATTGCTTTACGTTGTAGAGATGTCTCTGCATCTCCTCTGCCTGCATCTGATGCTGCTGACCACGGTCGCAGACCTGGACGGGGCGCCAACGGTTTCTGCTCAGACTCTTAGTTCCCCAATACCCAACCTTTAAACTTTTTGGGTTCTTCTAACGTAGTAGTAATCTGCAAGTTTAACCTTTTATTTCCCTGGCCTTGTTGGGGAAGTAAGGACGCCGCCGACGCCTGGGCCACGGCTGGCGATCGTCGGCCAGTACCTTCGTTTGCTCATCGAGTTTGCAACTGCCTCTGGAGGATCCTTAGTTCTCCAATTACCGAACCTTTAACCTTTTTGGGGCTCTTATAGTAACTCAGTAGTACTCTGAAAGGTTAACCTTCTTTTTGGGTTCTTATAACTTAGTAGTAGTCTGAAAGGTTAACCTTTTCTATTTCCCTGGGCTTATTGGGGAAGTAAGGATCCGTGGCGCTGCTGGCCAGGTGTCCGAAGGCCTGCGACCTTCCCAAGACGGTCTCCAACCTGGCCTTTGCGGCCAGCGCCGCATCCGCGGCTCCTTGGCGCAAGATTGAACTACGGTTGATGGTATAAAGTATCAATCCTGCATTACCCATAGTAGGAAATATACCAGAATTCCCATAGTTTAGGGTCCTTAAGGCAATGCAGGATTTATATCATCAACAGTACCAGCTGGCAGCTAGGTGCCAGGCACCATCTTGCTGGATTGTCCTAGTGATGGGCTTCAGTACATGCTGTGAACTGTCCGTACCTGTAGTACCAAATTATTGTGTGATGAGCGTTGACGTAAGGCTGAGAAGCTGGTGGCCCAAATGCAGCTGCAACAGGGCGGGTTATGAAAAGTGAGGCAGCGTCGCGTGCCGTCACCTTTTGCCCTGTGGCGTGTATGGCAGGACTGCCATGACTTTTTGGACATGGGCATGCACGGCATGCGGCACGTTTTTGCATGTTGGTTCAAGCATCAGACCAAATATGACCACAAGTACAATCAAGCGGCTGGGTGCACTTTGCATCTTGCAAACAGACCGAGGCTGCAACTCACACGCAGACATTCGCAGAAAACTTCGTGCTGAGACCTGTTTGTCGCACCTGGCAGAGATACTGTGCACGCATCTAACATTTTGGCCAACACGGACAACTTACATGGCAGTCTGAACACGGGAAAACGGTTCGGAGTCGGCAGCCGAGTTCACAGAGGGAACGAAGACCATCTCCCTTTGTGAGAAGCGTTGGACATTGAGGTGCTAGCGGCGGTTGCGCTGGAGCCTCTCGGCTGAGCATGTCCTTTCTAAAGCCTCAAGCCTCAACCCTACTTCAACTTTAGCGGCCATTGGCTACCCGAGGCCATGGCGGCGGAAGTTGCAACCGGGTGCAGGGGCTCAGTTGACTTGAGCGCACGTTCCCAGATCCTACCAGCTCCGTGATGGTCTCTGTCAGACCTCAAGCCCAAAGAAAGGACGACAAAGAGAGTCAGAGAGTAGGTCTATAGTTTAAGAGTTTGTTAGTATTACTATCCGTATTGTTATAAAACACATGCATGCATATATATATATATGTATATGTATAATATATGTACAATATATATATATATATATATATATTAGAGAAATACATAATATAGGGTACTTTTTGAGGAGGCGCGCCACTGCTCGGGGGAAGCTCGCGGACTTCGCACAGATTTGCTCAGCCATGCATTGACAGATCGCTGACAGCTAACTCCATTCCCTGTGCATCGGACTTTGAGCAACCCCAAACCCTAAACCCAAACCGTAAACCCGAAACCCTAAACCCCAAACCTTCAACCCTAAACCCCAAACCGTAAACCGTAAACCCCAAATCAAACCGTAAACCCTAAATTTCGACTGGGCACATGGAAGGAGGACAGGAGGTTCTGCCTTCGGGCCGTGGGATGGGCGGAAGGCGAACTGGTCGCAACAGTAGCCCCAGCCAACGATAGAACGAGCTACGGAAGAGGGGGGCGAGAGAAGGAGAGGGAGGGCAAGAAGAACTGCTAGTTGAGGGGGCCATGCTCCTTTTGGTTCGCATAAGCCATAAACAGACCGAGCCGAAGGACTGCACAAGCTTCGTCAATCCCTTTGTCGAAAAACTCAGAGGCGTGCTTCTGGTGTTGACATGGGGGTGCAACCAAAAAAGATGCGTGCATCGGAACAGGCCCAGCCCATGGAAGGCATAACTGAACAAGGCGCGTCCTTTCCTGCGCCCCTTTTTAGAACACCTCGAGCTTCTCAGACTCTGGTCCTTCTTCAGGGCAGTTCCCTGCCCACAAAGTGGCCTTCTACGAGCTTCTGCTGCGCCAGCTCCAGGAGAGTTGTCTGGCCAAGCCACACTCAGGGCGTTTAGGGTTTTAGGGTTTGGGGTTTTAGGGTTTAGGGTTTTAGGGTTTTTAGGGTGTTTAGGGTTTAGGGTTCCTCAACCAGTGGAAGCGGAACCCCAACGCTCGACCAGCAGAATCCAGGACGATGGCTTCGAGTCTGAGGCTGCAACCGCATGTGCAGCACAGGAGGGGCATGGGACCTCATGGCCTGTGCAGGTGCAGGCCTTAACCTCACAGCTGCGCTTGCACCCAAACAGCCGAGTGGACAAGGCCTCTGCCGAGTTTGGTGTCGAGAGCTTTTTTCGGGCCTTCTTGCTGGGTGCTGTCAGGATGCCCTGCTGGATGTCTATGCCAAAAGTTGGCCCTCAGCTGCCCCTGCGCCTTTTGCTGAGGGTGGTGGCCTCCTCCCTGCCGAACGAGGCTTGAAGTGGGCCTTCGGCGACGAGCCTCGAGGGGAATGGCAGCCTCTGCACTGTATACCTGCTCGGCTCTCGGCCTCTTCAGGCATTGCCATCCGCTGTTCTCTGCCTGCCTTGGACCTGAGGTGCCACCGGTAGGTCCGCAGGAGAAGGTGCTGGATCTGGAGGGAAAGCCCATACCAAGTAGTGGTGCTGAACCTAGGCCCACCGTGATCAAGTCAGATGATACTATACAGAGCCTCGTGCACAAGTCATGGCAACTCTGGTAAGGTCCCCCGCAGGCCCCAGATCCCACGAAGAAGCCTCCAGAAGTCAGGCTGGCTCCATGTGGCATCAGCTTGGAAGCTTTCTACCAATGCTGCCCATGTAGGCTGCTGTATACCGCCTCACACAAATCACACTGCCGATCTGTGGCGTTCTCGACAGATGGACGCTTCTGCCAGCGCCTAAGTCGTGGGAAGCAGAGCTGCATTACCTACCCTTGAATGGTGTCCCTTGGCATCGAGCTCATCCGAGGTGCCACCGGATGTTCCGACGGCAGCATCAAGATTCTAGACACCGCAGTCGGCTCAGCTCCTTCCAAATGGAGATGCATCCGGGGAGAGATGAAACGACATCCATGGAGCCTAAGGCCAAGATGCGAGTCTGTGCTGCCAGCACGGAGGGACCTGTCGGCAGAATGCGAGTGACCGAGGAGGACTCGAATGTGGCGACAGCTTCACTCGCGCAACATATCTGCTCCTTATTTTTTCTGAGCACTAACATTTCATTTCAATTCGGTCTTGCACAGGAGCTGATGAAGCCAATCGTCCGCACCCTCCAGGCTCACTCGCCGAATGAAGATTCTAGTTTATGGCTGAACACCAATCAGAATCAGTGTCAGGATCACATCCAGGGCGTCACTTGCTTGGCATTTCATCCAACGAATCCGACATTGTTCTCTGGCTCGATGGACAAGGCCAGCCGCCCTGACTAGGATCCGTCCGGATCAGGATCACCCCATGTGAAGTGCTTTTTCGAGAGGCAGTGAAGATCTTCGACTTGACCCGACCGCCGGGCCACAAGAAGGCACATCCCCCCGCCGCATCCTCCCATCTTTCGGATCCCGTGACAAAGCCAGGCGTTCTCCGTACTTCAGGATGTTCATGCTGTGAACAGCATATGCCACAGCCTCAACCGGTGCTGCGCTGGAGCTATGCGGGCAACGCCGAGAGCGCAGTGCTCGCGGTGCTCGCAGCGGGAAGTTTGCCACAGATGAGGCATCCATCCCTGTGGGGATTTTCTCTTTGTGGGGACGACTCACCAGGCCGGCTAGACCCAAACTACAATGCTGGGGAGCCATGGAGTGTGTTGAGGCAGTTCGTCTCTACGACCTGCAGACGTTGAGCTGTTTCACGACATCTCGTCAAGACCAGCACCACACAGCAGGCTTCTTGTGCTTTGCCTCTGCATGCCTCTGCAAGCTCTTCAAGACTTTCCGACACATCATTGCAGGAATCAACGATGTTCGCTGCACGAGCGATGGTAAGATTTTGGCATCCGCGTCTGCCGTTGCAAACTGAGCCCTTTTGAGGTGATGCATAGGATGTCCTCCGAATGCTTTCCACCTGTGCCTGCTCCCAGGACGGAGGCATCAAGCTCTGGGACGCAGTCACCAACAGCGTCATCAACACTCTGCCAAAGGCTGCGCCTTTCTGGCCTTCAAGAATTGCGGCGGTGTAGTGTCCGTAGTTCTCTAAATTAGGCTCCCTTTTTGGGTCCCCATTTTAGTACGGCGCCCTTGTAAAGAAAACTACCCATATGACATCGAAGTAGTGTGTTGGAGGCCCACAGTGGATCTGCCGTGTGCTCCGTCCGATGGAGCCTGGCCTTCAGCTTCACAGCTCGCGCTGAGGCTCCTCTTTCTCTAACTCCGTTTTTCACTTGCGGATGATGGATCATCAAACCCTAAACCCGAAGCCCTAAACCCTAAAGGCCCTAGACCCTAAAGGCCGTAAGCCCTAAACCCTAAAGGCCCTAAACCCTAGAGGCCTTAAACCTTAAAGGCCCTAAACCCGGAACCTGAGGCCGCAGTTTGCGCTACCTGCTGAGCTGTGGCCAGGACGGAAGGCTTGGCCTTCCGACGAGATCCGGTTCTTCAGGGTTTAGGGTTAGGGTTTAGGGTTTAGGGAGCTTAGGGGTTTAGGGGTTCAGAGTTTAGGGTTTAGGGAGTTGAGGGAGTTTAGGGAGTTTAGGGGTTTAGGGGTTTAGGGTTTAAGGGTTAGGGGTTTAGGGTTTAGGGTTGCACACAATTGCGATTGAGTGCCTGTAGGCAAGCAAGCCAGCAAGGCAGTGCAAGCCTGCACCTCGTGCATGCAGCGTAGGAAGTACCTATAGTCTCCGTTGTAGTTCATTTTTGGGGTTTTAGGATCCTTAACATAAATATGGTTAAACCAAAAAAAGGAACTGCAATAATGGAGACTATAGGTAGGTAGTGGGAAGTTTAAGTACTATCCAGAGTCGTTCGCTGGAATCCTGCCCCTGGCCGTCTCAACAAGGCAAAGATGGGAGCGCACGGGGACGGCTAGGCGCCCATTGAGAGCATGGGTCGGGGCAACTCCACTGGCCCGAAGCCCTGAGTCCTTCGGTGGTATTAGACTGCATCGAATCATGAATAAGCTATGCTGCTATGCGAAACCGCGGGACTTCAAGCGCACAACAGTCTCACATCCTTCCAAAGCCCTGGAAACGGGGAGGGGGTGGGGGCTTGGCAGCCACGCCCACTCATGCCCTGGTGAAGACTTCGCGCAGACTTGGGCAGACACACAAACACCCTGGGACTCAGTGCCACCCACGCCAATTGGGGCATCGCTTTGCGGCTACCTCATTGCCAGCCAGCGCTCTTCCCCGCTTGCATCTGCGAAACTCCGATAGGCAGCGACTTTGGGATGTGCGGATGGGTCGAGAGGCACTGGCAGCAGCTTTGAGCCAAGTCGGCCGACGAGTTACCACTTGCCTGTCCCAGGTCTTCTGCATGGGCTTTGGAGCACGTTCCGCTGACACTGGCACGGCAGTGTTCTTGAATGGAGAGAAGTGCAGCCCTCTGATGGCAGTCCCACAGAAGATGCTGCAATTCGCGACAAGTTGACACGTGTAAGAGTCGTTGCCCTGAAGGTACATCGCAGCTTGCAACAGCAATGTGAGACTGAGCGATGTCAGTCTCTTCGATGCCACCACAGGCATCTGCAGAATTGCTGCAAGCATTTTCAGAGCCGAATTGCTAAGAGTTGTTTGATTTGGAGCCCTAAACCATAAACCCTAAACCCTAATTGTTTGATTTGGAGGTTCACCTGTCTTTATGAAGCTGGGAATGCACAACGTCCCAGTTCTCGGGATCGAGGCTTCACCTGTGGACAGGAGCGTCTGTGCAGAGACCGAGACATAACAGCCTCTACTTTGGAGCAGTGCAGGACCATCATGACGGGGTGCGATGATGAGAAAGCGAGATACTTCAGCATTGAGGCGGCAAAGATGTGAAATCAACTACTAGTAGAGCTCTGCCTTCGGATAGCGAATCTGTGCCAGGAGCGTCTGTGAGCACCGCGGCTATGGGTGCACAGCTGCAAGCTTGCCGGGAAAAGTTGAGCCTAGTGCATCAGTGCATCAGCAACTCTTACCTTTGGTTAGTAGGGAATGGAGGAATGGGAACTATTATAAGTACCATTACTACCATCTTCCATTCCCTACTAACCAAAGGTAGGAACTAGGGTATCTATTGCTGCTCTTGTGCTCTTGTCAGCGGCCTTCGTTGCCTCCGGCCGCTCAGAGGTATCGTGACATTCTGCTCGAGCAACCTCAAGGTTGTCTGAGCTGAGGCTGAAAGAACCCAGACTGCAGGAACCCCTAGAGATAGAAGTTAGAGCCTACCACGGTCTGCAATGTACTGGATTCAGTCACTAAGAGTGGTCGCATTGAAAGTATGATTCAGAGTATGGAATTCTTGCAATTCATGGTCATCACCTGAGCTGGACTTCGCGGTTCGAAATGAGCTCTGAAGACCTGTTGAAACAGCTGCAAGCTCAGTTCGCCGCACAAGGGCAGCACTTGGACAGGGAAGACGTCCTGAACCTGGCTCGACAGCTGCATGTGGACACGCAGAGCGACTGGTGCGAGGCAGCTGGCCAGTCTGAGCCCTTAACGACACGGCTCAAGAATCTATTGAAGGATTATCCAGCTGATGTAGGCCTTTTCAAGGAGATGGTGCAGAATGCAGATGATGCCGGCGCCACGCGGGTCCATTTTGTTTGGGATGCGCGACCGCAGCGGAAGGAGAGCCTCCTTTCCCCAGAGATGAAAGCCTGGCAGACAAACTGTCTTTGGGCATACAACGATGTGCTTGGGTGTTCTTGAGAATTGCTCTTGTGTTTTGGGAAAGTCGCTAGCCTCTTAAGTCTTAACCCTGAAAAAAGCAAGATGCCTGCTTATGTTAAAAGCTGATCTGTGGTGTTACCTGAGCATGCAGTTACACGCCATGTTCAAGCAAGCATTGCTGTCTGTGCACGAAAAGAACAATTAACAACCGCAGCAAAGACACACCAGCAACGCGTCGTCGTCATCGCAATTACTGATGGTCTTCAAGCTGGTCATTTTCCGACAACGGCCAGAGCCCAGAAGAAATCATACTCCTGAGAATCACGATGACTAAACCCTAAACCCTAAACCCTGAGAAGCGGAAAAAGGTGCTAAAAAAAACAAACCCTGAGAATCAAAAATGAAAAACGGCACCAAGGCGCTCTTCACGGAGCAGGACTTCGAAGCGATCTGCCGGCTCGGTGTCGGCGGCAAAAGGGAGAGGTCAGAGCGGATCGGCCGGTTCGGCCTTGGCTTCAATTCGGTGTATCTGGGTCCCTGTTGGCTACAATATTTCATTTTTGTTATAATAAAACCCAATAAGGGTTAAACATGATCATTTCAATTTTACATGTTTGTTATAGTAAAACCCAATAAGGATTGAAGATGATCATTTTTGAATATAGCCCCAAGAGACAGGTATAATCTCACCGATGTGCCCAGCATTCTGAGCGATTCCCTGGTCCTGTTTCTGGATCCGCACGTCTCTCATCTCTCCAAGATGGGGGCCTCGAGCCAGAAACCTGGCATCAAGCTGCGCTTCTTGAAAGTCCCTGTCTTGGAGCGTTTCCGGGACCAGTTCGAGCCCTACCACAAGCTCTTGGATTGTGATTTGGAGCCTTATCTTGCGCCTAACTGACGGGTGCGGATGCAAAGTGTAGGTGGGCTATGTGGTGTGCTGTCGTGCGTGCCCACGGTAGAGAATAGTCTCCGCTGCTTGATGTAGCTTGTGTTCTCCGGGTTCAGTGGGCTGCGATGCTAACCAAGGAGTCGGGCGAGCCATTTCGGGGCACGTTGATACGAATTCCCTTCCGGACAAAGGAGTCTGCAGCGAAAAGCGAGATTAGCAAGATTATTGTAAATGATGAAATGGTGGCGGCATTGTCGCACCAATTTCAAGCTGAGGCATACCAATGGCTCTTGTTTTTGCAAAACGTGCAGGAAGTTTCCATGTCGCGCCTGCAGATCCAAGACGGAGAGCCTCTGCTCCAGAATATTTTTTCAGTCTCTTTGGCCAGCCGTGCAGAGAAGTTGACGAAGAGACCCAGTTTGGTCACATGTGGAAGCTCTGGTCGCAGCACTGCTGTCTCCACGCAACTAGAGGTTGTGTGCAAAGGGCCTGACGGCCAGACGCAGCTGCGGCGATATCAGCTGTTTACAGATGCCCAGCATGGGTTCAAGACGCGCGTGTGCCTGGCAGTTCCGCTCTTCCGGGAGCAAGACGGTTGTGATGGTTGGTATCATGATGAAGATGGGCGGGTGTTTTGCTTCCTCCCTCTTCCACGTAACATCGACCTTGGGCTGAGACTGCACGTCCACGCGCCATTGAATATGGCACAGGACAGACGAAGCATGCTTCTCGATAATCGCATCGGCGAGTCGGAGCAAGAGTTAGTGCGGCACAACCTACTGCTGCTGGACGATCTCATTCCGACCGGCACTTAGAGTGTTCGAGCTTTTCCTGGTACTTCCATTGGTTCGATTTTCGATGTTTGGTAGGTTGAATTGCACAGCTGCTGTGTCCAAGGTCTGCGCTCGTCTCTTGCCTCATGGACTTGGCGGTGAAACGAAACCAGATGCCTCCCTGCCACTTCTTCGCTTTGTTCCCGAGGCTTTTCAACTGTAAAGGGAACGTGTCGCCTTCAGACCGCATCGCGAGAACATTCTACGCCCGTCTGCTGGGTCTTGTCAGGGGCGAGTCGTGCCCTTTACCTGTTGCTGCAACAATAAATGCTCGGGGCCAAAGTCGCACTGAAGCACCTCCAGGCTATTGGGTAAAGGTAGCCGACGCCGTGTTTGTCCCGACAGCCGGTACTCCTGGTGTGGAACAGATTTCGCAGAGTCTGCTCGACAACGTTGTGGAGTGCTTGCTTCGTTGCGGTGTCCCTCTTGTCGATGCCCCCCAGCCCGTGCTCGAGTCGATCGAACGGGTCCTGGAGCCACGCCAGCCTGTTATCTTGACACCTGCATGGCTCCGGCAGTATTTGCGGTCAGCCGCAGGCGGCAAACGCACTCACACGCTCAAGAAGCAGCAAGCTTCGACAGTGTTTTCGGAGCTGACTCCGGAGGACGTTGCAAGCTTCCTGGAGTTCTGCACTGGTGACGGCAACACCGCTGACTTGCAGGGTGTGCCCTTGGTTTTGTGCGATGACGAATTGACTGTGCATGTGTTTTCCAGCGACGCACAAGCAGTGTTTTTCCCACAAAGTCAACTGGAGCGTCGCCTATTTCCAAACAGAGACGGGCGCAAGCTACTTCTGTCCGCGAGATTGGAATCGAGGCCTGTTGTTTGGGCGAAGTTGAAGGAGATGGCGAAGGCATTTGAAACGGGTGGCAGAGCCGATGCGCGGCCTGATGGGAGGCAATGCCCATGCTTCCAGTGCAGGACGGTAACTTTTGAGCTCCTCATAGAGGCTCTGCAGTCACTTTTACCACGAACGTGGAACGATCCAGTGCCGCAGGTTTCAGCATCGGACTATTCGGAGTGGATTGAGGACTGGCTTCAAGCAATGTGGAAGTGGATGGATGCGAAAGATGTTTCTCTTTCACGACTTGTTCACTGGCCTCTAATTCCAAGTCTATGCGGTGGGTCCAAAGTTGACTTGTTCCGTATACCTGAGGCCCACAAGAAGGTGCTGTTTTCGGACAGCAGACCTCGGAAACCGCCCCCTCCGCCACCGCCACCACCCCCACCTCCCCAGTCATCTACACAACCAGCCCAGCCCGCCGAGCCTTCCCAGCCGCCTCCAGAGACGGAGACGGAGCCTGCACCGGACACGCAGAGAGCTGATAAGCCAAAGGACTCAGTGCCGTCGACATCTGCGTTGATACAAGAGCTCCTGGTGGCACTGAACTGCCGTCCCGTGTCGGAGCCGACGTGGTTGCTTGATCATCACCAGAAGCAGATTCGAACTTGTGTTCACGCATCCACTTTCGAGGGCTTCCTCCGGGCCATGCACTTCGCATCCAGGCTTCTGCCTGGGAAAGAGAAGCTGAAGCCGGCAGCTGCACTTCACGCAGCCCTTTGCAGCAAGCTCACCAAGCACCATGCCAAAGCTTTGCTGGTCATGGCAGCATCTGTCCAGCGAGAGGGCTGTGTGGAGGAGTCAGTAGCCTCGGCCCCAAATTGGAAGGCGAAATCCGAGGCTTTCTCTGGGCTTCCCCTCTTCTGCAAGTTTAACCAACCCTCTGAGAGGATGTGTCTCAGCAGCCACGCCTTGGTCCTCGTCCCGGAGACATGTCCACAGGTGGTGTCCGCCTTGCGGGCGGCCGAAATCACGGAGTTGGCCTGTGCTGAGATTCCGGAGGAGGTCGGGGTGTGTCTCGGGTTCCCCTTTCGGCATCCTGATTCCTGTAAACTCTTACATGGGCATCTTGCACAGAGCCTTGAATCCCCCAAAATCCCCACTCCCCGTAATCGCAGGGCCTAACCCTAAACCCTAAGCCATCTTAAACCGAAAGCCCTTTAGACAGAACCCTACCCGAGAAGACGGGCCAGGTGCTGACAGCGCTGACGCCGGCGGAGTCGGCGGCTGTCACCACACTTCTGCGGGAGCTAAGCCTGCCGAGACTGAAGTGGGCAGACTTGCTTCAGGCATGGGGTTTTGGGGGCTTTTGAGTTTAGGATTTAAGGCTTGTAGGGCTTCTATCTAAGGTTTGGGGCTTTGGCTCTATAGGGTCTAGGATTTGGGGTTTAGGGTCCACAAGCCGGCCTTGAGACGGCAGGACCAGGTGTTCCCTTGGGCAGCAAACGCTCGCAACACTGACGTCATGGTGCGCCAAGGTCTGATGAGGGCCTTGGTCTATCATTGGCGGGATATGGAACTGATGGGAAATACCACTTGCCTGGCGGCATTGCAACGAATTCCCTTCATTAGCACAGTTGGAGGCAGCATCATGTCGGCGGTTGATATGCTGGATCCAACCGTGGAGAAGCTTCGCGCGCTGTATGGGCCCGGTGATGTGCCAGGGCCCTTTCCAGATAGTCGCTGGCTGTCAGCAGAGTGCCGAGCAGTGCTTCACTATAGGACCGAGCTGAGTTACCAGGAGATAAGTGAGCGGCTTGGCTTCCTACACCAAATTGAAACAGAGCGTCGCAGAGCGCTGGAAGCTTCCGGGTCCAATGCTGCGCTCCAGGCTTCGTTGGAGGTACGGGCAGTTGCCATGGCTTTAGTTAGATACGTCTGCGACGATGTCTGCGCTGCGATGAGGGATGGGGAGGTCGATGTGGGGAAGCAAAAGGAGGAGCGGCCCCGTCAATCGGAAGGCGGCTTCTGGCAAGCTCTGGACTTTGTGGGAATGCTCAGCGGACCTGCAGAAGCCGCGAAGCCTGCGAAGAAAGCTGCCAAGCTCTCACCGGATGAGCTAATGTCGATCCAGTCGAAGCTCAAACGATGCTACTGGCTCGCACCACTTCCTCGCCCAGATGGGTGGCCCTTGGACGCTCCTTGGAGAGGTTCAGAATGTGGCCTCTGCTCAGCGGAAGAGGCAGGGGTGCCTTTGGCTTTCGTTCCTCCTGGCAGTGCAGTGCGAGGTGCGTTTGGCTTCAGAGGAGTTCTTGGTTGGCATGGCGGGGAAGTGCAGTGCGAAGTGTAGCGGGGAGGTCCGGGGCAGTCGCACGGCAGGTCCGCCCACTCATCGGCCTCGTGACTCCCGCATCTCCAGGCTTTCGAAGTGCTTCGGAGTTTAGGGTTTAGGGTACTCGGATGTTCGGAGATGCTTCGAAAAGTCATCGTGCACTGCAAAAAATGGTCAGGTGGCGGCAGACTCTCCCATCACTTCGTTGTGAGATTCCCAGAAGTGCACTTGGCGCGTCGCCCTGAACATGTGGTGTTTTTTTGCGCAGGAGTGCCTTGGAATGATGGAGAAGCCGGGTGAAGGATTGATCAAGGAGCAGCTCGCAAAGATGCAGGCACTGCGCACTGAGAGTCTGAGAGCGTAGACAAATTTTGATATCCGCTGAGCGGTCGAGCCTTGATTCATCTTGATTCTGTGAGACAGCCAGCTCTTTCAGCAAGAGAGGCCTGAGTGAGCTTGTGGGCTGTTTGTGGGCATGAAGAGGCCTGGGCATCGATGCTGCCAGATGAAAAGCGAGAGGCGTCATAGCTGCTCTTCGAGCCCTGTGGCCATGTTCATCTCACAGTGGCAGGTGAGCTCGCCGTGGATCACTCGATGCCTCTATGATCACCTGTATCCCACCTTCTTGAATGCTACGCATGTTGAGGCATCGGAACTGAGTCTCAGCCATTTCCGGATCCCATTTCTAAGAGCCCGAACCCAGGAGATTGCCAGCGACAGCAACCAGCAGCTGTGGGTTGCCATCCCAGTCAGAGTGCAGGACAAGACATGGGCGTGCTTGTCCTCTAGGGGCTCAAGCCTCGGGCCGTGTGTTTCTCAGGTGCCACAAGGAGGTTTCTTGCCCATGGCGCGAATCGCTCGACAGCATATCGAATTTCCGCCTTATTTGGTCAAGGTAGGAGGTTTCAGCGGCAAACGATTCGTAGCCGGCGCTTGCTGTCGCAGATCGTGACAGGCACCTCCTGAATGGAGGGAGAAGATTCCAGTTCTGTGGTCCAAAGTGAAGGACAGCTTCGGCGTCCGAGATTGCAGCGAGGCCTTGGGACGTGCACATTTTCCAATTTCTGAGCTCTGCGGCTCGTTGATCTGAGCGAGGCCTTGTGCAGGATGGCTGAGATCGCAAAGCAGTCCGGCGGTGGTCTCAGGGCAAAGATGAAGAGCTTTGACTGAGAGTATCTGAAGTTGCTGAGGAAAGGAGTCTCTGGACTCTGAACCCCTTGACAGTGCTGTTCGCCTCATACTCGCCATCTCGGACATGCTGCAGCAGGCACCTGCAACACCCATCCCCCCCCGCTCCTCTTACGTGTAAGGGGTGGCCAGGAGCGTGCAGAGAGCGCTGGCGCTGCGGCCGGCAGCAAGCTCGACATCCTGATGCCCACGACGGAGCCGTTACACTCCTACTGCACCGCTCAAAGTTTAAGAGACTGAACATTTGCGCTTTGATGCGGAGGCCACAGGCCCAACCCCTCCTCCCTTTCCACAATTCGCTCGGTTTTCAGGAGTCGACGCTGCGTTCTGCTCGGGACTGCGTCTTCAACAACATGACTTGGCCTCTCGGCTGCAGGAAACTGTGAGCATTAGCTGGCTGTGCTGCGGTTCGGAAGCTCAGGGTTTGGGTTCTAGGGTCTAGGGGTCCAGGGTTTAGGGCTTTAGGGTTTAAGGTAGTGCAAGCAGGGGAGGGAAAAAAGCGAGGCTGCCGGATGTGGAGACGGCCGATCTGAACCTCGGAAGCTACGGCCGGGGGGCCTTTCTTTACTAAAACCCTAAACCCCTAAACTCCTAAACCCTAAACCCTAAATTACGGCAGATCTTCATCCACCTCTTTGGCTCTAAAGCCAAGGTCTCGTGCACCAAAAGATCTCCCATGCAGTGGCTCACACCTGCGGGTGTCGAGCGCTTGGCCTTGCGATGCTGCCTCTACAACTCGCTGGTTCTTAGTTGGGAATGGGGGAATAGATCCCTATGATAGTCCCTTAAACCCATTCCCCCATTCCCTACTAAGAACCAGTCAGACAAAGGTGAGGTAGAGCAGGACAGATGGTCCCTTGTTTTGTCCGAAAACACCTGCGGCCCTCATCAGGCAGAGGCCTTTCCTTGGTCTATGCTCGTGAGGTGTCGTCCCCAACGTTGACCGGACTGTGCTTCGCCGTGAAAACGTATCCTTGAGAACTCCAGGCGACAGAGATGCACGGAGCTGACTGGTGCGAAGCTGCAGGTCAGAGTGAGTCAGGACCTTACACCAGGCTTCGGACACAGGGTCTCGCCGCATCTGCCTACTCAGCCCAGGCCCATAACCACGCGCCTGAAGAACTTGCTCAAGGAGTCCTTGCCCACGTAATATGTTTCTGAAAAGCCTGTGCTGGGTGCGAGGACTACCCTGCGGACGTCAGCATGTTCAAAGAGATGGTGCAAAATGCCGACGATGCCGGCGCCACTGAGGTGACTGATGCAGCTTCCCGGTGTCCTTCCGTATACCCTAAACCTTGCAAGCCCGGTCAGGTGCACTTCGTTTGGGACTGGCGACAACATCGGAGGCATGTCTCGGGCATGCTTAGGGCCTGCAGGGTCGTGATGAGTTTGCTCTATTGCAGCATAAGTAACATAATATGATACAAATTGAGGGGAACGCTTGGCTCCTTGCCTTTTGCTTGCGAGGCAGTCTCTGCTCACCCCGGACATGGATCGCTGGTCTGGCAGCCTGGGATCGCCGAGTAGGGGAGTGCGGTCATGTTCTCGGCGCTTTCTGCTGAGGCAAGGTCCTGCCTTGTGGATCTTCAATGATGCGCAGTTCTCCAGCAAAGACTTCGAGAGCATCTGCCGTCTTGGAGTCGGTGGGAAGCGTGACCAGAACAGGCCATGGCTTTAGAGCTTTGGGCTCTTTGATGGGCAATAATGTTGAATCTTCTGAAAAGCAGCGCCCCTTTGAAGGAAGATTGGCCGGTTTGGACTTGGCTTCAACTCAGCATCTCTCCGAGATCTAAGTTCATCCGGCAACAGTCTTCGGGATATTCGTCCGTACCCTCTCCTGAGGTATACAACTTCACTGACTTGCCCAGCATCCTCAGTGATGACATGGTGCCTGTCTGGATTTTGGTCTTTTGCCTTCGCCGGCAGCGATGAAGAGCGAGTGACGTTGTGCTCCGAGGTACTATTCCTGGACCCTCATGTGCATCATCTGTCTGCCATGGGAGCCTCCGCCGAGACCTCAGCAGCCCGAGCACAGCGTCAAATTGAGGAACGCCCATGAATTTGAGCAGGTGCAGAAACCCGGTATAAAGCTGCGCTTTCTGAAGATCAAGGTGGGATGCTGTTGTGACTATTGCAGGTGAGCTGGTGGCACTCTCCGCCAGCCCATGCCAGGTCTTGGAAAAATTCCGCGATCAGTGGCCCCCGCATGCTTGTCTACTATAATATACCGTAACATACTTTACTATACTGCAACATACTATCATATACTATCGCCCTACATAGGCTTGAGCCATTTCTTTGGGCATTGCCAGGTTCCTGCCGTACCACCAGCTCCTGGGATGCGACCTCTCCTCCTCTCGGCCCTTCCCGGGCACGTCGGGGGCCTGAAGGGACAGAAAAATACCCGACAGCATTATACGCTTTGATGATGTAAATCCTGCATGACCCAGAATAAGGGATGTTCCATAATTCCCATGGTTTAGGGCCCTTAACGTAATGCAGGAGTTATATATCATCAACAGTACCTGTGCGCATCTTTGGGAGTATGGCCCTGCAGTCCCTGCAGGCTGATGCGCGTACCTTTCCGAACCGCAGAGGTGGCAAAGGCAAGCGAGGTGAAGGCCTCAGCAACAGTCCACTGAACTGACACGAGCTGGCTCACGCAGAAGCGTCGGAGCGCCAAGGGCAGGTTGTTGCACCAGACATCTCTCTCTTCGCAAAGCCGCTGTGGCACGAAGTCAGGTGAGCAACATCCAGATGGACAAAGCTCTTGCAGCTGAGTTGCGAGCTTATCTAGGTAGCAAATGATGCAGCTGAGAAGGCATGTGTAACACAATTGGAGCAACCATGCTCCGCTGAGAGGCTCACATCGCAGTTTCGGGCAGAAGCTTTTCAATGGCTACTTTTCTTGCAGAATGTTGCCAGGCAGGTATGCCTCACTTGTGCTAGAAGCGTAGCCTGCTCAGTGCAAGCAGAAGTTTCAGCTTTGCAGGATCCGGCTGTCGGAAATTCACGAGAACATGGGGTCAGAGGATGTTTTAACAACGACGATCTGTGAGGTGCTGCTAAGACTTGGTGCAAAGGCTCCCATGGAGGGCTGCTCTGTTCCAGGTGAAGATGGCAGTACCGGCCCCTTTGGCTTCCGAGACCGCGGAGGCGGAGGCCGACACACCAGCCGCCAAGCGCATCTCCGCCATCGGCTCCGATTGTGACTGGGGCTCGGTCTTCGGCGATGTCTTGCACATTGCAATGATGCACTCGTGCACGGAGCGGAGGTCATTGCGGATATCACCATCGACGCGACGGACGCTAGTTGTCCTGGGCACCGAAGTCACCACTACAGGCAAGTTGAAGCTCGTTTTGCGTGCCCTCTGCTGCAATAATAATAATAGTAATAATAATAGTAATCATCATAGTAATAATAATAATAGTAATAATAATAATAGCAATAATAATAATGATAGTAGCAATAATGTAGAAGTGCTGCCAGGCTTGTCGGTGGAGCAGACTGCGGTGTCACCGAGCAAGTCTGCATTGCGCTCCCCCTGGTGGTTTGGCCCTCAGCACCCAGCGAGACTCAGCACGCTGCTAGATTTCGTGCTACAATATATACACACCGGTGCATCGGTATATGTATATGTATATATACATA